CGGGTCACTCTCATGTGACCCCGTTACACAACTCATAAGACTTTTTCAGTTCCACCAACGACTAACATTGTTTTCTCGCCACTTACCCGTGGCGCTTCACCGTTTCGCGCGGGGCTCGTCACACATGAGATTTGTCTCGCAGAACGTAATATTGTGACAAGGTAAACCATCATTCTTATCTATAGAGCCTAGCCCTTCTACTTGCGATACTCAAAAGCCTTCAATTCGCCGGCAATGGCATCGTCGATTGCTACACTCCGTCGCCATTACTCTCCATCGACCCTGACACAGATAACAGCTCAAAGGTACTCCTTACCTTTGCGCCACGGACACATAGTGTCGTCTACGCACCATCGTGACTCTACTCGAAAGGTGAGCTCGAAGACCGGGGATGCGTTAAAGCGTCTGAGATATATGTGCGCGTAGTCAATCGATCCGCAATGGGCGATACGTGTAGCATTTACATGCTAAAACTATAGTAGCTGATCGCTGTAGCAGCCAAGATATGGTGCCATGTCCAAGTGGCTATTTTGGTCGGATGGAACCCCAAACGCCTTATCTCGACACTCGTTGTCAACAATAGGCAAAAATTGTGCAGATAGGCAAAAAATGCCAAATCATTTTTTCCCTTTGCAAACTGGAGTAGTATACTAGAAGATCTTCAAGCTTCAAACCTTAACCATATCTTAATTTTGCGACAATGGTCGTCAAACTATTGCATCATGAGCATGGCAAAGGCCGCGTTCGAATGCTCAAGGTGACGCGCACACCGGCGAAGCATTCGGTATTCCAGCTGGAGGCGCAGGTGCTGCTGGAAGGTGCGCTCGCTGCCAGCGCCTACTACGATGGTGACAATAGCCATGTACTACCCACCGATTCAATCAAGAACACAGTATGGGTTCTAGCTAAGAAGCATGAGTTTGCCTCTCTGGAGGATTTTGGCATCATCCTGGCTGAGCACTTCGTCATGAAGCACCCAGAAATTGTACGTTATTTTGCTTTGCCAGTCCCCAAGTAATCACTACTTCTTTAAGAGGAAAAGATTAATGTACGTGGGCAACAAGCAGGTCAGCTTGGCAAAGGTCAAGCTCTTTGAGATGCCCTGGGAGCGTCTGGTACTCCCTGATTCCAAAGGTGTAATGCGTCCCCATCACCACGCCTTTGTCAGCGCCAGCCCTGGCTTTTCTACCGCAACGTATGTTTCTGCTGCTCTTCGATTTAGCCTAAAAAAATGGCGAATACATGCATATTATTTGGCTGACTCTGATCTTTCTAATAGTGTGACGGCGCGCAAGTCGAAATACGGGGACCCAGAGGTGACGGTACAAGGCGGTGTAGACGGCCTCAAAGCGCTTAAAACCACCCAAAGTGCTTTCGTCAACTTCTTACGCGACGAATTTACAACGTTGGAAGACGCGCCCGACCGCCTCGTCAGCACTTGTATTTCATCTACATGGACTTACATATCTGAAACCACCCGTGGAGACTTTGCCACTAAAGCAGCGGTAATTAAGAACGTGTTGCTTGAGACATTTGCGGGTCCGGCCGATGTTGGCGTACCCAGCCCTGCCGTACAGTTTACGCTGTACAAGATGGGTGAAGCGGTACTGGAGAAATGCTCATACGTCAAGGAAATAACGATTTCAATGCCGAACATCCACAATAATCCCATTGATTTGTCTCGCTTTGGTTGTAAAAATATTCATCCACACGGCGAGGTATTTCTGCCGATCGACGAGCCACACGGTATCATTTCGGCCACGATAGTGCGCTCGACGGCCAAGCTATAGGGCTGAAGCACTAAAAAAAGAATTATGTTACTCGTGACTGTCATGTTGAAGTACATACATATTGTCCTTTCAACTTTCCTGCACTACTTAATGCGTGAATAGATTTAATTAAATGTAAACTGATCGGGTAAACAAATTTACGTGTCGTAAAATTCGCCGAGAACTTGTGCTAGTGTGTGGACCTTACTTTGTAACGGTGAGTTAGTGCACTTCTGGGCTAGGAACTGCACACGCTGCTTCATCTCTTGAAAATAAATGTCGCAAGCATTGCACCGCTGAGTTCTGAAGCAAAGGTCAAAATGCATCAGGCAACAAATATAGCTCCACAATACGAATGCGTTTTTCAACAACCTTTCTTCTTCTGCAAGATTAGTCAATCGCGAACGATACCGTCGCGCATCGCGAGTGTCCTTGACGATGGGTGAAAACGCATCAAACAGATTTTGCCCGGAAGCGATGGCGACGCTTAAATATCTGCACGGCAATATGCACACGTCGTTCGAATGACATTGTGGCAGCGCTAAGAAAAAAAAAGCGATGAGTTTACTCACTTTTCAGATTCGCTTTGGAAGACCTCGACGATGAGCGGGAGTAGCAACACACAAGCCTCTAGATCGACACCCAGCGATGACAAGTCTGCGATCAGCAGAACGTCGACCACAACAGCTTCTCGCTTCCCTTTTGGCAACTCATTTAAAAATCGGAGACCTTCGTGCAAATGTCCCTTTTCCCAGTGAGCCAATAGCTGTTGGATGCATATTTGTCGAGCCTTGAACACCTTTACGAACGTGTCCATACCGCAGCGAAGCTCCATTATATAATCAGATGTCACTAACGTTTTATCTTGCGATTGCTTTCCGTGCGATGGAGGCAACGATTGGTCTGATGCATTTTCAAGCACCTCAATAGGTCTCTTCATTTGCTGTGAAATTGGTGAGTCTTGTCTTGCACCAGCCAAATGTGTTACTTATTGTAGATAAAAATGTTATTGATCTGCATCTTTGACCTCCGAGTAATGAGGACTAACTCACCTAATTCACTACATTGGTCTGTACGGCGTGAAGGACGTAAAATCGACTCGGTTGACGGGACGAGAACTCCTGGAGTAGTTGGGCGACTATAAACAGTGTTCATTCTCCTAGAGACTTGCTCAATTAAATTCGAGGCGCTTTCTTGAGCAAGCTGCTGTGAAGTGGGTGTGTAGCGACAAACAGATATATCACTACCTGATACTTTGCCAGGAGTAACGGGGTGAGCCAAAGATTGTCCTACAGCTTTTAAAGCAGATGAAGTCGGTCGCCTAGTGTTAATAGCGACGTTGTCGCTGGTATCGCTGTTTTCGCAGTTGAATGGTCGCATCTGCATCACATCTAGCACCCACACAGACACGAAAGCATTCTGAATACACCCGCCCACAAGCTTCATATCTTCCGTCATAATTGTGTCTGCGTGTACCTCCACAAATCCAAGTTCTTTCTGATGAGGCATCATGACACTATCATGGCACTGATGTGGGCAAATGTGCGAGGCAAGGTTACAACTCGAATACAAAAAAAATTGCGAAGATCGCTTACCTCAATTGCAGTTTCGTAAGACCAGACTCGAACTGCTTCTTGTGAGCAACAAAATATATATTTGCCGCTGTAGGGTTCTGCAACGGTATGGCTCATAGATGTCGTCTGTGTGATTGATAATATTGTGAGCTAAATTGGCAAGTAGATATAGCATGATACACGTACTATGGCATTATCTACAGGCGTGACGCCGATTAAAGCGAATTCTTGTACGTCCCAAAATCGTACAGTGCGATCGGCAGCAGAAGATACTAAAATAAATTCCTCAGGATTAAATTCGAGGCTTGTGATTGCACCCCCGTGGTCAGGAAACTCGTGAAGAAGACGCCCAGCTGTAAGGTCCCAGATTTTAATGTTACCTCCTTGATCTCCTGAAGTCAGCCAGCGTCCATCTGGCGTAAAGCTCACGACAGTCGCCTCTGAAGAATGTCCCTTAAAAGTCAGCATACAGCTTTTGGTCCTTAGATCCCAAACCTTAACAATCGTATCCCGCGATCCAGATGCTACGTAGTCACCATAAAGATGATAATCTACTGAGATAGTTGATGCCATGTGTCCCTTGAGCGTCCTAATGACTTTGCCAGCGTCCAGGTCGAACACCTTGATAGACCCTGCTTGAGACCCAGCCACCACTTTGCACTCTGCTGGATCGAACATAATGCTCTCGACAGCACTTTGATGACCCGATAGACTCTGTTGGTGAAGCATAAACACGTCAGTCACCTGGTGAGTAGCTCAGCGGCATATTTGGAATGCTGCGTTATCAAGGGACCATAATGTTCTTGGTCTCCGCCTCGCGCATTCGCCAAACGTTCACCATATTATCATCCCCACCAGTTGCAGCTACTTGGCCCTGAAATCAGCAAGATAAGCCCAGCATTTACCACATCAGCATTAAAACCTTTCTTACCGACTTGTGACCAAAGCGCAAACAGTTGACATTGCTGGAGTGCGCCAGAAAATGTGCTGCCTTGAACAAACCCAGAGTGCAACAACATCACATACAATTGCCTTTATAAAGTGCATGACGTAGTGATAAGACGCACAGTGCCGAGTGAGCGCCATGACCGGAGCAGTGATCAAGTGCTTTGTCTGCGTCTGCGTCAGCGACTCTTGCTAAGCACTATTTACATTTTTTGTGGTGGTAGTAAAATACCCCTCAAAATAGTACTTTGTCCCCAAGTCGAGCACGATTGGAGGAAGCAATGCAGGTTCTTGTTGCGGTGCTGAGCTTTATCGACATCGTGGCGCTCACGTTCCTTAACGGCTACTGGGTGGGTATTGTATCTCTCTTCCGATGTAGCACTTTTATGTATCATTAGCTGTTGTTGCTGTTGTCGCTGACAAAAATAAGAGATTTCTTACAGCTGATTACCCTTGATGAGTTGGAGCTGGACCATCTCAACCCGGCCGACGTTGCCAAGCGCCTCAACAAACTTGTCTGTGTGTAAAGTAGTTGGTTTTGAGTGTGTTTCAAGGGGATTTCGCTGAATATCAGCTAATTACTGCGTCAGATCCAGAGATGATCCTGCATGGTATTCTCATGCTCTTATGCCTGCTGGCATGGGCACCGTGGGTTTTTTTGTTCAATTTACCAATGGCCGTATGGCACGCTCGACGGTATGGGTCCATTGGATACTCTTTCTCACTATCATACCAATGGATGTTGTGTTAAATCATTGCAGTTATATGCGGAATGAGCACATGATGGATCCGACAGAAATCCTACGCTTTAAAAACCTGCAACAAGCTCGCTTGGAATCCATTGCTAGGACAGTCTTTTACGGTCTGCAGATTATTTACGGCATGTTCTGGTGCGTACGGGCTGTTAATTTCATTGACATTTGTATGGTGATTATTCTAAGACACCGTGATATTAACACATCAATAGGATGGTCTCTGCCATTGTCGATTCAGCAAAAAGACGAAAGGGCGGCAAGAGCGTCTAAACAGCAATGAAGTCATTGAGTAGAAGCCGACTGAATAATAGGATTCCACCGTCTTAGTCCTAGTATAATGTGAAAATTACGAGGCGATGGAAATATTGAATTCAATTTTTTGATTTACATAATAAGAATAGCATGCGTCGGCGTTACGAACGTAGGCGAGCCGCTAAGGCCAAAGCTGTCGCTACTGCAACCACAGAAACAGATGTAGTAAACACTTTGACGGGTTCTTCAGGCACTATAAAATCTATCACTACCGCCACTTCGACACCCAAAAAGCGGCAAACGACTGTACATGCTGCAGCACAGATAAAGCTACATGTTCACGGCCACGAGTTCCAAAACGGCGAGGAGATTGTGCTCAATCCAGAAAATTTTCCGCAGTTAAAGGAACTTATTTGGAAAGACTATGTGGTAGAGATCTTTCATCCAGAGCACGCATGCGACACTCAGCTTGGAACCTCGGACGTCGAATTGGCTGCCTGTGCCGAAGGCTCTCCTCAGAATCATTTGCTGCTTGAGATTCCAGGTAGCAGCGCTGATCCAATCAAAGGAAAAATGCAGGTAAGTGTGTTGAAGGACACGGCTGCCATCTTCCAACTGGCACCGTTTAAGGACGTTACCGTGCGGTTTCTCCCCAAGACGCAGGTTGAAGTGGACTTTGTGGAGGTATCACTAAAAGACCAGTTCATGTCTAGGCGAGATCTTATGTATCTAAAGCAGTCGATGGCAGGCACGGCGCTATATGTGGGCAAGACTATTAGAGTGCAGGGGACACGATGGCAGGTGCTCGACGTGCGTGCTGGCGGCGAGAAGGTTCGCAGCGGAGTCATTTCAACAAATACTAAGTTCACATTTCGCTCGCGGACGTCGCGCATCATGTGGTTAGTGCAAATTAGTCCAGAGATGTGGGATATGGCCAATTCTGGTATGCTTTACTCAGAAATTTTTCTGAAGGTGGTTCGTAATGTGCTGGAAAAGTGGATGAAACACAAAGTCTCGCACAGTCTGACTATTCTCTTTTACTCACGGTGCTTCTATCCGAAAATGGATCGAAATCAAAGCACCTCAACTTCAGTGGGACATGACTATCACTCAAGCTGTTTTTCTAAATCAAAGCACGCTGATAGTGAAAAAAAATCGTCGTTTCCTCATGAACGAAGCGATTGCTTCTCGATTGGCGTCGACGAAGACGGCAGACATTATCAAGACTTTTACAAATTGGTCGCATTTGACAGCTGCATATCAGATGTGCAGCCGTTACTTGTGCGGCTTAAAGAAGAAATTAATGCATTTCCTCGGAAATGTGGTTGGCGACCACCCGAAGGTTTCTCGGATCTCTCCTCTCAAGAATATTATCAAGATGAGACTTCTCCGCGACCAGGAATTCCTTCCAAAGCTCGTGACGGAAATTTGCTCGAAGCTGTTAACCTTGTGCTCAATATATTTGAAAAGCATCATATTGACCGCGATTTGTCGCGTAGTGGGCAGAGCGTCGTGCTAATAACTCCTGGGAATGGTATATTTTTCGTCAACAAGCGCCTTTCCGAGATAACAGAGCAGCGCATGATGGACCATGGAATAGGTATTGACTTAATTTCATTGTCGTCCCGCCCACTACACAAATGTCCGCTCTTTCTCTTCAAGCAGTCCAGTTCGCTCGAGATTAAGTTTTCTGGTCGGAAAGAAGGACATCTTGCGAATGAAGTGTGTTTGTGTAATTACAACAATTCACACAGCCTGAAAAATGGATATCCTCGACAATCGCGAGCGAGCTCGAGTGACGCTTTTTCCGAGACACAATCGGCAGTGCCAGACGCTGGGATCTCATCAACGAGAAATGGCCAGTTGTGCAAGAACTGCTTTCAACGAATGGATAACCGAAAAAATTATATTGTTCCTCTATGGATTCCGCTCTGGTTTGTACAAGAGAATATGCTGATACCGCACACGTGCCCACTAGATGATGATATTACCCAATTTTGCGACGTCTGCGCGCCAGAAAATGCAAAGAATAAATCTTTTGAGCCGCTTCCGTTGTGCCGAATGTTCAGGGACAATATCAGTACTTTTTGTGGGTACCTTTCGCTTCCAAAGCCGTTGGAATATCTCCTACACGCCTCTCCAGGATCTGAACCCGTCCAATGTGATTGGGATGGAGATAGCATTGAACACGGCTTTGCATCATCAGTTACAAACTCTGCTCATGACAACATTACCTTTGCTGGTCCGAACAGTGATCTTGTTCGCGCTCGAGCGTCTTCCATGACGTTCTCGGATGACGCTTTGTCGTACGAGGGGGAGGCTTTGACCAAAGTGCGATCGTTTTCGTTGTCTGAGCAAAATAAACTCCTACTGGAGTATGAAAGGTATGATGACGAAGTGTTTGGGCTCTCCCTAGCGTCGAAACTTGCACAAAAATCATCTGACAGTGACATAAGTTTCCGTCTAGCCTCAACCCCACCAACGCGCCCTGGCCAATCGTACTTGACGTCGATGACAAAAAAAAGGATGGGAGCCGGAGGGTTGCAATCGAGCTCAGCTGGCAATGCAATTGAAAACAGTGATATTGGGGAGGTTCGGTGGCATCAATTTGAGCAGAATGAGCCTACTTCACTCAACGTTAGCATGACTGATCACCACGAAAGCTTCGTGGCTAAAGTAGGATCTTTGGATGACGAAAAACCCAAGGCTAGGACCTTTTCAAGCTCGTTTCCAAAGTCGTTGCACTTGGGTGACGGCAGTGGGCAGAACCAAACGCTGTTCACTGCTAGTCCTGTCTTGCGGCCAGCCGAAGCCGCAGGAAAAGAGGACATTTTCCATTCCCAAGCATTTATGCTAAAGCAACTTACGAGTAACCAGCGTCGATGGAGCCAAGTGCGGCCGTATGAAAGCCGGCAGCAAAAGCTTACACAGAACATCTTAAAGTGGCGTAGTCTATGCTTTCCAGCGCTATTGCCACTCGCTAGTGATTTCATGCCAGCCCCTAAAGAATTGCAAGCGCACTATACAGAGTCTTTTTACAGCGTCATGCTCCCAGAGCGCGACGAACAAAATGGAGTCACTTTTCGCGATTATCGTGAGCTTGTTCTTGAAATGGTCGCACAACGGCTGTCCCAAGAATTTCAGTTTGTATCAGCCGAAGATAAAAGTGAAGCTGGAAAAAAAGGGAGCACTATCTTTCGACTCAGCATGGGACATCGAATCCATGAAATCGTTTACAACGAGGAAACTCAAACAATTGATGTTAAGCGATATTTACAAAGAGTGACAACGCAGTCTGATGTGGACATTATGGAGTATCGATACTTGCTTTGGTCCCCAACCGTCGATCGCTTTGTTGCTGTTGCGCAGGAATTTCGCAAGTATCCTAAGATTGAGTATCAATGGAATCATTTGGATCAGCTGATTTGCGGTTACATTGATGAAATGAGTGAAGGAATTCGCTATAAACGCACCTTGCATTGTATATTTCCGCCCCGCCTCGGTTATTCTGATGTCGCTGATCAAGGTATGCAGTGCTTGCCGTTTCCTCGTTTGAAAGTAATCTGACATTCACTACAACCACTTTTGAACAGAAACATTGCGAGAATACACAGAAAGCTGTCGTAAATTCTTGGAATATTTGCGGGCTAAGGCAGATGCTAGCACTGGTTTTCCGAACGTAGCTGTCATGACTGACTGGAATGAACTCATGTCGACAAGCCAAATCAAAGCCTTCAAGCGCGTGGGCCAAAGAAGTGTTAAGATGCTCCTGCACACAAATGATGCCGTCACGAGCCAGAACTGGGTGATTACAAAGGTCGACACCGAACTGCGACCAACACAATGCTACCACGTAGAGATTCAGTGGCTTGTGTGCCGCAGCTCTCTCGTCGATGATCTCATTACAGGGATGAGCCGCCGCGCCAAACAGCTCGGATTAGATTTTCAGAGAGTTTCCGAGAACGGAATTTCAAGCAATTTGGCCCTTCATCCATTTAATTGTCCCATTTTCTTTCCGATTGGCAATGCATACGAACAAAGGCTGATAGAAAAGGCGCTGGTCGAGCGCTTCGACTTCTGCTGCGAGGCGCTGCATCCTATCCCGATCACGCATTTCAACCACAGAGCAGAGTATGCGATCGCGGCAACGGAACCGCATGCGCGACGAACAATCTCGTACTACCGGCAGTATGTCCACCGGTCGCTGGCTTGCTTTGCACGTATGACACAGACCGGATTAGTTTGGACTTCCGACCAGAAATTTCACGACGGCGAGATCCAGCACATCTTTAACGGACTACAACAATATATTGAGTCTCTTCAGGTGGTGTGTTCGGTGCTGATGAGCGTGATGGACAGCATGATGGAGCCTCCAGCTCTAGCAACAGCAGAATCTACTACTGTGAAGTTCAATACTGACAATAAAGCAATAAATTTGGGTACATGCAGCCCTAATCTTTCCCGAAAATCCAATACAAACGGTAGGTTGGAGTTTCTTGCGAGTGAAAATGTCAGCGAAATCAGTGGCATATGCAGCGAAGAAAAAGAAAACAACTCACTGGCGATCAATTTCCAGCTGCCTTATGCTTCTGGTTCGGACGCGAAGAGAAGCTCGCCACTTACGGAATCCGTCTTTGATAAATCTGAGCGTGGCGTCTCGTGTGTGTCGAAGCCGCGCGTGAATCTTCTTTTAACGAACCAAACACAATGCCCGGTACCGAACTTACGTTGATGAACTCAGCTCGCCAGAACTCATTTTCATATATTTTTGCGCCACCTAGAATGCTTGAACCGTTTAACATGCAAAATTTGGTGCGCGGTCAATTACCCAATTAAATAGACGCCGTAGCGTGATATACTGAAGTATGAAACGCGTATAGCAAATGTTTGACTTTTTTCTCAAGCGCATACAGTCTCCTCTGAACGTAACAAACGACCGTCATCAAGCGCCAAGGATTGTTTGTGTGTTGAATGGTCTGTGATCGTAGAGCGCTCATTCGAGCCATTTTTTAAGTTCAGTAATTTGCACATCACCATCTTGCTCGATCGTCATCATGGCAATGCTACCGTAGCCTCATCCACTTCGGTACGCAACGCGCGCGTAATTTCCGGCAACATGTTCCGCCGGATTTGAAGCAGACCATATTACGGAGGCTACGGCATAGCGCTCCACCTCTCCAAGTTATCGCAATCAAGCTGCTCCAACTGGCACCGTCGTTCTCGAATTTGGGCGGTGAAGCATCATTGCCAAATATGTAGCAAAACTGTATGTGGACGGAGCGAATTCTTCTTAAGTAAAAGTGTTCGCACATGCGATAATTGTGTGCACATCAACGAACGAAATACATTTTTTTTTTGCAATCCCACACAGTTTCCACGGCTTTGAGATATGTTTTTGGGAATGGGGTGTCTCCATTTTTTCAGAGGCTACTAAAAACTTCGGTCATTAGTGGCAGGTTTACCAAACTGCAAGGCGAAAATTATCTTCGATTAATCTTAACCTATTGACCCTTATTAAGGCTTTCAACAAGCCATATTTAGCACAATTGGGGCAACGGAATAAATCCTTACACATTTGGTACAACAGTATCAACTAATACCGGAATACTGTACGAAATTTACATTACGCATTTAATTTTATGGCTTGACTATTCCTTCGAGAGTCTCTGCGGGAAGACAATGCTGTGATCTTGCCACATAATTTGAGACGTTGAACTGCTGCGCACGAGGCGGCACTCGTTAGTCAGATTTAAGCGATCCGAATGACTATGTTGATCTTCTAATTCATCAGCGCTGCCAAGCGCCAATTCAGCAGTGCCGCTACGTCCTGATAAGGATGCACCATCTTCAATAACTGGGCCCAATCCTTCTACTTGACGCCGAACCCGGCCGGCTATTGCTCAAGGGTAAGCGACACTAGGCCGCGCTGAACTGTCTCCGCGGGATCAAACCTAGCGACCGCGGCATAGTCCTCACTTTAAATGATCCTTGAAGATCCCACTACACAGCTGCTATCAAATTCTCACCTGATATACATTCGGAGAGCTGCGACATAACGTCGCAGGCAAAAAGCAATATTCTTGTTAGACAATTTGAGCATTTCCACGTCCTATATCAAAGTTTATGGCCATGCATGAAGCGCTTCTGCTTCCAAGCAAAGGCAGGTTTCTGAATCACCAAATCTCCACTACGAGTGAAGTGCGCGACACATTACAAATTTTACTTTCGCTCTATCCATTACTCATGACGATTAAGCCACGCCAAACCAAGACTGAGCTCGTGTCTTTAGAACCAGACAGCGCATCACGCTGTCAGATCCAAGAGAATTTACAGGAAAGTATAAGCAATTGGTGACATGTTCCGGTCGAAAGACGCACGGATATCGTATTCGTAATCGACAAATTCAAAGCTTACGCGTACCCTAGAATTATTTCGACAAACCCGCGTCGTACGTAATTGAACGACGTTCCATGTAACGGGTTATACGTACCCTGGTATAAAGGGGTGGGTCACAAAAGATGGTGTGACCTCACAATGGTGTGGCTGGACTGCCAGTAGTTATGCATTTTAATTAGGTTTTCCTTTTTAATCAGGAATACCTAGAATTAGATCTAGGCGACTATGCCGCAATTAAAACCATAAAATACAGTCTACATTTTGCACGAAAGGTTTGGACAAAGGTTTTGTTTACTCTTAGAGTAAGCGGATAGTGATTCGCTACCTGCAGCGGGGCTGCCGTAGCAAAACGCATGAGGAAACGTACTTTAGGTCAACGACCTTTCGTTCTTTACAAGAACCAAGTATGAGTTAGCGGATCGAAATCCTCTTACTCCAAGAGTGATTATTGCCTTCCCAAGGATAATCGTCTCTTCGGTTCAACTTCCAAACTGATTTTTATTTATATTTTTATCCTAGTATCAAAAGTTTAGATTTTCCTAGATATAGTAAATCTAAATACATGCATAACTACTGGCTACCTAGCCCCGTGTCGTATTCTTGTTTGGGTGTATGGTCCCACCGTGCACACCTCGTGTGACCCCCCTGTTATTCGGGTTCGTGTAAACCCGTTACACCCTCCCCATTAAGTTTGAGAGCATTTACGGTTCCAATCAATTATTGCCTCAACGAGGCTCGCGTGTCCGTTAGACACTGCAACTCAATTTGTTGGAATTTAACAACTTTCTTGCTCAATGGGCCTCGTGTCCACGACACGGAAACCATCAAGTCTCGCTGGTTTTGACAGCGAGCACGGGCAGAGCTCAACTTTGTCCCCCGTATGCGGTGCCATATCGGACAGTGCGTCCGCGGCACTGGGGGATATACATCATAGGTTTGATAAGCACAAACGTCGCGCTCCGCGCACGCTTTCAGTGCCGAGTGGCCTCCTTGAGGATGTAGTCGACTATGAGTCTGACACCTTTTTTCCCGCATGGAATGACGAGGGAGGCGAGCAGCACCAGCAGCATGTACGAGTCCTGCTCGCGCCTTGCAGACTCCATGTCCGTTTCGTGACTCTCGTCAACTGAGGAACGTGGTGTAATCACCAATGACCTCGACGGGGAACAGAGGCGGCAGCTTGGAGCTGCCCATTGGGCGGGTCTAATGCGCGCCCATCCACATTCGGTCATTGACCCTCGTGTGGAATATGGCTTCCGCCCTGCGGATCCCGCTTTGAAAGCGAAGGACGCGGAAACTCGATCGTTACGCGTCCACATCATCGGGCCCCCGGCCAGAACAGATGATTAACTTGCCACACGGAAAGCTATTGGAGCTCGTTTCTTGGTCCCGTCAAAAAATTCCGTTAAACGATTATCGCACTCGTCTAAGTGCTCAACGAGGTGGCTCTCGTATACCTGCAATGCGGACAATTCCTGTAGTGCTCGCCCCTGGCGAAACCACTACAGATGACGAAGCGCTCTTTGAGCGATGGGTGCAACGGCACCGAAAACTTTCC